ACATTTTCCCAAATTAATTATTCAATATAACTAGGGCATTTTTCCCTTATTCACATGGTTGCCTCCAAGGCTCATATTTCACTCATAATTCATAAACAACCCCAATTTCAAGTCTCTAGCACATATTTGACTCAAACATGGAAAACCCCTCTTTTATAAATTACAAATCAAACCGTAACTTATAGCAATCCCGGTTTTCCCTTCATTGTTTAATTGTATTCCAGACTCGGTCTCGTGGATGTGTTGTTGTATTATTTCTGTTTCCATCCTTTACTCTTCGTATATGAGTCTTGGGTCGTGTTAGGCAGGTTTGAAACAGGTTGGTTGTGTTTGGAAACCAATGGTTGATGTCCAGATTTTGGGTTGCACGCTCGAGCGGGGCTTTTGACGCTCGAACGGACCTGTTTGTGTATCAGTCCGAAAAACAGCTTTTTGGATCACTTTTTCGGGCCATTCTCTCTCTCTAACTTTTCAAAGCTTATGCGTGATTATACTAGATTCATCTCATTTGTAAGATACATGTACATCAATTAGATGGTGACTAATTATTGATGAATGCACCTATATATACTATAGCGATCCCGGGTTTACCCTTGTTGTACAGTGATCCGGACATGTGTCCGTGGATGTTGGTAGTTGATTAGTGTCTTGTTTACATCCTTTTTACTTCGTAGTTGAGATATGGGATGTGTTGGGCAGGTTTGTTACAGGTTGGTTAAGCCTTGGTCTTTATCCTTGTTGCCCAGGTTTTTCGTGTTACGCTCGAGCGGATCATTCTGCGCTCGAGCGGAGTTTGGTTTCCAGCGTAGCGCTCGAGTGGGTCTTCTTGCGCTCGAGCTTCTAGTTTAGCGCTCGAGCGGGTGTTCTGGCGCTCGAGCGGAGATTGCACACTCCCAGTATTTCGTGTCTCTACAAAACTTCTGCAGAGGTGTTTTCTACGCTCGAACGGGTTTTTCTGCGCTCGAGCGGGTTGCGCTCAAGCGGGATTGTTGGCGCTCGAGAGGGTAGTACTGTCTTGCTGAGGGTTCTGGGAGAGGGAGATTTGCGCTCGAGCGGACTGGTTTTCTTGCTCGAGCGGATGTACTTTATTCCTGTGTCTTGGCGCTCGAGCGGGCCTTATTGCCCTCGAGCGTGTCCAGATTTTTGTTCATGGCGCTCGAGCGTTGTGTTCTCCGCTCGAGCGGGTCATACGTATATGAGTTATCCACTGGGTGATTTTAAATCACTTTTTTCTTTTCTTTCTCTCTCCTACTTTTTCTAAAACCCATTTTTGAGAGCCTCTCTCTCTAGATACTCCCTTTTCTCTAGGGTTTGATCTAGTTAGAGTATCCTCCTTCTCTTCGGCCTTTGTAAAAGTTGTGTTGATCGTCGAGGATTTGAAGCATTTTGGTTTTGGTCTTCATCTCCATTGGAGCTCAAACTTTGAGGTAGGGATATCCTACTCCTCTCTATGGATTTTGTCTTTAGATTTTAGTATTTTGAGATGTTGGGGTTGGTTTGGTAATTTTGTGAAAGTTTGGGGCTTTTGTGTAAATTTACAAAAGTCGGGGTTTTAGCTATATAAAGCCTAGATGCATGTTTGGCATGGAAATGTAAAATTAATGTTAAGACATTAATGAAAATGGAACTTAAGGGTTGAAATGTAGATTATGGAAAATGCCCTAATTACATTGATTGAACATTAATGAAAATGGAACTTAAGGGTTGTAATGTAAATTATGAAAAATGTCCTAATTACATTGGTTAATTAATTTGCATAATTAATTATGAGAAATGAGGAATTGATTTGGGAAGTCATGGGATAAAAAGGGTGTAGTTGGATTAATTATCACTCACCTAGTTGGAATGTTGATTATATATCCATTGTTGCATTTATTTTCTGTATAGAAATAACTGCTTTGGGCTATCGGTGGAGGATAGCCGTGATTGTTGTAGACAATACATGATGATTAGACAAACTGAAACTAATCACTGGAATGTGTCATTGAGATTGTCGATTGAAAGAATACATTAAATTTATGTATTGTGTGACGATGTGTATAATTGTTGTTTATATGCATTGTGTTGTGTTGGAGGAGATAGGGGATGTACTCCACGGTTTAGGGGAAGATAGGGGATGGAACTCTAAACCGGATGTTGTTGGGAGGAGATAGGGGATGGACTACATAGGTAGAGCTCATATGCTTATCTAGTGATGCATTGACAGAGCTCATATGCTTGTCATTGGAAGTGTGATAGTGCTCATATGCATATCTGTGGAAGTGATGATATAGCTTGTATGCTTATCTGTTGGTGTGTGATAGAGCTAGTATGCTTATCTATTATGAAATGGGAAGTGTTTGATATGAGTTACTGTCTCATATGAGTTGTTTGGCCAGGTTGTGAGCCATGGTTATAAATTGAGAATTGAAAAGAAATGGAAAATGGACTGTAATATGGACTTGTATGTCATGAAACCGTAAAGTGTGATAAGGGAAAGTATCTGTGTTGGCCATCTATCAACTACTAATCTTTTGGTCATTGTTCATATTTGGTTTAGTATATTTCTACTAGGCTATGGCTCACCCTATATGGGAATATCATTTTCAGGTACAGGTAGCATGCCACCTCCAAGGACGTAGCTTGGGAGGCTAGAGGCAGGCGGATTTTTTTGTTGTTTTATTTATTTGATGTATTACATGTATATTCAAGCCAAGGGCTTAATGTGTAAATGAGTTAGCACTCTTTTGTTGTAACCAAGTGTTAACTTGGAAAGCTGTAAGCCTCTAGGGCATTTGCTTTTATTGTTAACATGTAATACTTTTGTAATGGAACTCTGATGAATAGAAGAATGTGGAGTATTTATATATCAATGCATGTCTATATTGATGGGTTTTATGTTATTATTTTGAGGGCGTTACAGAGATTGTGAGGGAACTTGGCTCGATAATCCATGATGAAAAAAAAAATGTCTTTGTAAGAATGTATGTCTAAGTATTGTATTTTCATGTTAAAATGTTTTACTTATATTCATTTTCTTCATGTCTTTATATTTAATTGTCTAACTATTTGACATTTTTTTTCTTAAATTTTTATTTTATTTTATTCACAGGATGGATACTTCTCATGTCTTGCTTACTGATGGAGAGGATGCATGGTTACCAGCAGTAGAACCAACATCTAATAAAAGAAAAGGCAGAGGTTCGACAACATTACCGGATGTCATAAAGATAGGAGTTCTGGTGTACGAAAAGCCATTGACTATAACGAGAATGGTCAATTGATTGGAAACAATTCAATCAAATGTTCAAGCTATCATGGGGTGTTGGCTCGCACAATGATTCCGTTATGCTATAAAGACTGGTTTGAGGTGCTAGCTGAACTGAAAGAAAAATTATGGAGTTGTGTGGAGGTAAGTAAGACACTTAAACATGTATTTAAGTGCAATCAAAATTAGAATTTTATAACATTATATTTTTTGACAACTCAGTTAACATACAAAGTGGATGAAAGAAGTAAGAAAAAATGTTATCTTCAATTTGTTCAAAATGGAGGACATTCAAGAAAGAACTGACCAAGTACATACGTGAAAACAAGTCCAATCCTGAGATCATATCAAACCCACTAGCAATTTATGGATTCATTGAACAAAGACATTGGGACTCATTTCTTGTAAGGCGACTATCAGAAGAGTTTGAGGTAAAAATTATCAAACTTTAGTTATTTAAAATGTCAGTATTAAATGCTAGACCCATCAAACTACGTATAGTTATGTAATAACAGTGGCATGCCCCTTGTAATCTTGTAAATTTTATGTTTTATTTTATGACTTATTCACCTAAAAAAAATATTAAATGCTATACATTTGGATTAATTTTGTGTGTTACATTTTCAAAGATTTTGAGCCAGGTTCAGAAATGGAGACGAAGTCAAAATAAGTATAACCATAGAATTAGTCGAAAGGGCTATGCTCGCTTTCAAGAAGACAATGTAAGTGGTTATAAATTTTATTATTTAATAACAATTTTGATATCATTATTTTGAAAAATTGATGTATGTTTAATTGACAGAAACATATGACCGGATCTACTAAAGATTTGGACAAAAGCGTTCTATGGAAAAAGGCTCGTCAAAATAAAAATGGAGAATATGATGACAAGACAATTATGGAACAAGCTGCGAGAATTGTAAGTTATTTGTGTGTACTGATTGCATTTATTTTATATTATCTTAACTGTTCATCTTTCTTATATAGTAATGTAATATTGTAGGATGAGTTGACCTGTAACACCCTCAAAATAGCAACATTAAACCCATCAGATAAGACATGCATTTACATATAAGCTAACCACATTCTTTTATTCATTAAAGTTCCATTACATAAGTATTACATGTTAACATCAAAACAAAATGCCCTACGGGCATGTTAAAACCCAGTGTTTACTGATATGAGTTACTATGGAGTTATTATTGAGATATGGCAACTTGACTACAATATGTTCAAGATTCCAGTATTTAAGTGTGATTGGGTTGACAACACAAAGGGAATTAGAGTGGATGAGTTGGGTTTCACATTAGTTGAGTTAGGGAGGATAGGCCATAAAGACGATCCCTTCATTTTGGCTTCCCAAGCTAAGCAAGTTTTTTATGTACAAGATCAACTTGATTCGAGATGGTCAGTTGTGCTAGAACCTCCTCAAAAACAATATTCTTGTGAAAAGGATGATGATTTCAATGATTTTTGTATAGAGCATCATGGTTTTACAAAAGTTTTGCCAGAAGTTGTATCATTAGATGTGGTTGATGATTCTATGTCATCTTACATGCGAGGAGATTGTGAGGGAACTTGGCTCGATAATCCATGATGAAAAAAAAATATATCTTTGTAAGAATGTATGTCTAAGTATTGTATTTTCATGTTAAAATGTTTGACTTATATTCATTTTCTTCATGTCTTTATATTTAATTGTCTAACTATTTGACATTTTTTTCTTAAATTTTTATTTTATTTTATTCACAGGATGGATACTTCTCATGTCTTGCCTACTGATGGAGAGGATGCATGGTTACCAGCAACAGAACCAACATCTAATAAAAGAAAAGGCAGAGGTTCGACAACATTACCGGATGTCATAAAGGATAGGAGTTCTGGTGTACGAAAAGCCATTGACTATAACGAGAATGGTCAATTGATTGGAAACAATTCAATCAAATGTTCAAGTTATCATGGGGTGTTGGCTCGCACAATGATTCCGATATGCTATAAAGACTGGTTTGAGGTGCCAGCTGAACTGAATGAAAAATTATGGAGTTGTGTGGAGGTAAGTAAGACACTTAAACATGTATTTAAGTGCAATCAAAATTAGAATTTTATAGCGTTATATTTTTTGACTACTCAGTTAACATACAAAGTGGATGAAAGAAGTAAGAAAAATGTGTTATCTTCAATTTGTTCAAAATGGAGGACATTCAAGAAAGAACTTACCAAGTACATACGTGAAAACAAGTCCAATCCTGAGATCATATCAAACCCACCAGCAATTTATGGATTCATTGAACAAAGACATTGGGACTCATTTCTTGTAAGGCGACTATCAGAAGAGTTTGAGGTAAAAATAATCAAACTTTAGTTATTTAAAATGTCAGTATTAAATGCTAGACCCATCAAACTTCGTATAGTTCTGTAATAACAGTGTCATGCCCCTTGTAATCTTGTAAATTTTATGTTTTACTTTATGACTTATTCACCTAAAAAAAAATATTAAATGCTATATATTTGGATTAATTTTGTGTTACATTTTCAAAGATTTTGAGCCAGGTTCAAAAATGGAGACGAAGTCAAAATAAGTATAACCATAGAATTAGTCGAAAGGGCTATGCTCGCTTTCAACAAGACTATGTAAGTGGTTATAAATTTTATTATTTAATAACAATTTTGATATCATTATTTTTTAAAATTGATGTATGTTTAATTGACAGAAACGTATGACCGGATCTACTGAAGATTTGGATAGAAGCGTTTTATGGAAAAAGGCTCGTCAAAATAAAAATGGAGAATATGATGACAAGACAATTATGGAACAAGCTGCGAGAATTGTAAGATATTTGTGTGTACTAATTGCATTTATTTTATATTATCTTAACTGTTCATCTTTCTTATATAGTAATGTAATATTGTAGGATGAGTTGACCAAACAAAAAAGTGATGGGAGTTTAAAGATTGAAGGATGCAATGTCATTCTTACTATGGCATTGGGTACTCCTGAATCTTCTAGTTGAGTAAGGGGTGTAGGAAATTCTGTCACACCTAGCACCTACTTTCACTTGCCTAGACGTGGGAATCAGCCACATTGGGAGAAGAAGTGTAATGATCTTGAGGCAGTGGTGGTACAATTGCAAGCCAGGCTTAGTGCAGTGGAACAATAAATACCATATACACCCGAATCTGAACATGTTAGTTCAAACATCTTAAGAAGTGGTTATGAAGGAAATTTTTAGCCTGATTTTCTCTTAACAGAAAATAGAGTGAGAACTAAGGATGACATTCCACCCCAAGCTCTTACCCAAAAGATTATAAAGGTGTGTAGCATTTAGAACACCTAAAGTTGTTATATTTTCTAATACTGTTAGTAATTTTATTAGTGCTTTTGTTGTTATCTATGCGTTTGTTATAGAGCAAATGTTCAAACACATTGAACAGTGGTGGTAGAGGCAATTTTCAGCATGATTCTTTATTAGCAGAAAATATGGTGAGAACTAAGGACGACATTCCACCTCAAGATCCTAAACAAAATAAGAGAAAGGTGTGTAGTTTTTATCTATTGATGTTATAATTTCTAATATCGTTAGTGATATTATTAGAAGTTACATTTTTAACTTTGTGTTATAGGGCAAACCATGTAAACTCGCGATCGGTTCCATTGAAAATATTGTTGCTCATGGTACGGTGTATGAGAGAATTGAACACAATGAAGCCATTCATACAGTGCCATTAGGAGAATCCAATGTACGTGTGTCTGTTAAAGTTGTTATTCAAAAAGATGCCCCTCTTCCTATACCTATCCCAGATGAGATGCTTATTGTTGGAGAAGCAGTGGGATTTTTTGTTGCTTGGCCCAAAAATCTTGTATTGGTCAGTGATGAGGTAAAATATTCAAACTTAGAAACTTCATTGCAATTTCTTTAAGTTAAAGTTGACTTATATTTGTTTATTTTGAAAATTTTAAACTTAGGGAGCTTCAATTAATGTTGAATGTGGAAAATATCAAGAGTCCATTCAATCTTTTGTTTCATTAGTTGAGCATATCAAGTATGATGAAGCCATAGACATTCCACTAGAGAAAGACATATTTGGGGAGGAGATCAATGTCCAACTTCAAAAAGTAGACATGGAGTACATATGTCATGTAAAAGAATTATCTGTTACATGTATCATGTTGTACATAAGGTAAGGAAAATTTGCTACATCAATAGTTATTTCTGCAGATTTTATAAATTACGAATTTAATTAAAATCTGTTTATTTTATTAGTCATCTCCATCAAGTGTTGAAGGCTTCCAATTGGAGGAAACAATTTGTGTTTGTTAACCCTTGTGTCGTTAGCGGAAAAACTATGGCTGAGGAGAAATCAAAATCAGTGTTGCTTGCAAGAAGATTAGAGGACGCTATGCTAGAACAATTGGTTTTAATTCCTTATAATATTGGGTAATTATCTAAAACTATTTATTTCATGTGTTCAAATGATAATAAACTTATTAAGCTTATACTTGTGACTTGTTCAATTGTAGGTACCATTGGATATTGTTAGTCATTGATCTAACATTGATGATTGTGTACTTACTTGATCCGATTAATTCTAAAATAAACACAAGCTCTGAAATTGTAATAAACACGTAAGTTTGGCTAGTTCGTACATTTTTAAGCAATTTGAGTTACTCTAAAAATATTTTGACATTTGGAATTTCTTTTGTAAAGTGCTTTGAAAATTTATGAAACTACCCAAAAGAAGAGGAGGACCAATCCAGTTTGGAAAGTAGTTCAGGTAATCAATATCATTTTCTCTAATTTTATCATACTTATATTATGCTAATGATTGTTCAGCTTGATCATAACACTTTATATATAGTTTCTAATAATAATGAAAATGCTTTTATGTAGTCCCCGCAACAACCTACAAACGTGGAATATGCGGGTTTTATGTAATGCGGTATATGAAAGACCTCATTAGAGATCAAAGCATCCTAAGAAAACAAAATGTGAGATAAATTCTAAACTTTTATTACTATTATATTCATGATACTTGTACATCTTATTCATTATCTAATTGTTTGTAAATAACCTCTTGCAGTTCAATGGAAAAAAACTTACACGGAAACCGAACTTGATAAAGTGCGAGTTGAATGTATTAATTTCGTACTAAAGAATATGAGTTGAAATCCAATGTAAGTATGATATAACTTTCGTTCTTTAAATTACTAATCAACAATTTCTCTAGTTGGTAAAGAATATATAATCACTTCAAGATTTCATTTAAATTTGTTGATTCTATGTATATTTGGTTTTATGACTGAGCACGGGAAACGAGGTACGTTTCGTACTCCGAGTGACGGCACGTGTCTCAATTCCCCAGTCGCCGACACTCCGGATTATCCATGATGGAGTTAGGTTTTAGTTGTGTTTTCATGTGCATTCATCCTATATTGAATTGTGCAATTCGACCCCTATTTAGTCCTTTTGAATATGTAATGACTCATTACCCTCCACATTAAAGTGTCACATTTGGGAAAAAAAAAAAAAATACACTAAAGAGTTTTTTAGTGTCACATATACCCGTCACGGTTAAGTGTCATATTTAGAAAAAAGTAAATTAAAAATTTTAAATTTTTTTAAAGTGTCACATCAATACCTGTTACGTTAGAGTGTCACATGTCATGTTTGGCAAAAATACACTAAAGGAGTTTTTAATTTTTTTTAGAATATCACATCATACCCGCCATTGTTATATTTGAAAAAAGTATACTAAATAGTTTTTAATTTCTTTTAAAGTGTCACATCATACCCGCCACGTTGTCTAGTTTGAGAAAAGAACACTAAGGAATTTTATTTTTTTTTTGAAGTGTTACATCATATTCTCTACATTGACATTTTTGAAAAAAGTACATTTAGAAGTGTTATTTTTTTTTGGAATAAAAGTTTTGGAGTGTCACATCATACCTGTTACATTTTCACATTTAGGAAAAGTACACTAAGGAGTTTTTTAATTTTTTTTTTAGTGTCACATCGTTAAAATGTCACATTTAATACCTGCTACATTTGAATATTACATCATACATGTCACATTTAATAAAAGAGTATAGTTATCCACCAAACACCTGCCAAATAAAAAACAAGATCACACAAAAAAAAAAAAAAACTTTCTACTAATAGGATTAACAAATCAATAGAAAAAACTTGGGACTATTGAAGTACTTGTTTATGAGATGGGATTTATTGGCAAATATCACTTAATTTTTTTAGAAATTAAATTTTTTATTTTTGTTATTTTTTGTTTTTAATCAATATTTTTTTAAATTTTAAATAATTTTTTACTTTTTTTAAATACACCTTACTTAGATATATCTTAAAAGTAAAATATTTATAAAACATTTAAAAAATTAATCAATATACAATAATATGAAAAATGTATTAAATTTTTATATTTTTTATATAATTTTCGTATTTAGTGAATTTTTCTTAAGATTTTTTTTCACAAATATTATACTTTTAAGTATATTTATGTTAGGTATATCTAAAAATTAAACAATTACTTAAAATTTTTTAAAAATTCAAGTAAAAATAAAAACATACAGAAAATTTCTGTGAAATGTTGAATTCAAAAAACTCAAACAAAACAATAGTGTTCAGAAAAATTCAATTTTCACACTTTTATTTATCTCGGTATACAGTCATTTCTCAATATACACACTATTAATTTGGATTATTGATTATTCTTTTCGTTCCACACACTTTATGTTTTAATTAATACCCTAACTTCATATACTTATACACACTACTGAAACCCTTATTTCACTAGTACATTTACCCATTCGATTGGAAGTCCTTCTTGACACACTTGATATACTGAATGAAGAAAAAGGTTTTAGAGCTCGAAAGAAGAAGCTTTTAAAATAGGGTATTAATTTGTCTTTTTCTTTTTTTGCTTTTTTTTTTTTTTTTTTTTTGATGCAATGCCAGCTCAGTAGAGCTGCTCTATAAAGCAGCTCTCTATCATATCTGATATGAAAATGACCCATTAAAGAAAACAATGAAGACACAATAAAAAATCGGAGCGGGGTCACTGCTGTGCCCCCTCCCTGCTGTGTTTTTGCGTGCCGTGAAACGGCACAGTTTCATCCCCTTCTTTCTTTCTTTTTTTTTTTTTTTCTTTCACACAGTTTCATCTTCTTCTTTTTTTTTAATTTTAATTTTTTATTTTAGAGTTTTGAGTTAGGATTTAAGGTTTAATTTTTAAAATTTATTTTTTTTATTTTTGAGTTTAGGGATATTTTTTTTTTATTTTAGGGTTTAGGGTTTAATTCTAATTTTTTTTTTTATTTTTAGGGTTTAAGGTTAGCATTTAATTCTTAATTTTTTTTTTTTTCTGTTTTAGGATTTAAGATTTAGGATTTAGGATTTAATTTTTAAAAATTTAATTTTTTTATTTTAGGGTTTAGGTTTAATTTCTTAAAATTTATTTTTTTTTATTTTTGATGATTTAGGGTTTTAGGGTTTAATTTCTTAAATTTTTTTTTTATTTTATTTTTAGGGTTTAAGATTTAGGTTTAATTCTTTAAAATTTATTTATTTTTATTTTAGGATTAGGGTTTAATTTTTTAATTTTTATTTTATTTTAGGGTTTGGGGTTTAGATTTAATTCATAGTGAGAACATGAAAAAAAAAAAAAAGAAAGTGAAATTAAACCCTAAATCCTAAACGCTAAACTCTAAAATAAAATTTAAAAAAAAAGAAAGAAGATTCAAACTGTGTGAGAGCATGACAAAAAAAGAAAACACAATAGGGAGGGGGCACAACAGTTAAAATTAAAAAAAAATTAAGAATTAAACCCTAAACCCTAAATAAAATAAAAAACAAAATTTAAGAATTAACCCTAAACCCTAAACCGTGAAAATAAAAAAAATTAAGAATTAAACCTAAACCCTAAACCCTAAAATAAAAAAAAAAAATTTATCCCTAAACTCTAAAATAAAAAAATTAATTTAAAAATTAAATCCTAAATCCTAAACTCTAAACTCTAAAATAAAAAAATAAAAATTAAAAAAAAAAGAAGATAGAAACTGTATGGAAAAAAAAAAAAAAAAAAAAGGGATGAAACTGTGCCATTTCACGACACAGCAAAACACAGCAGGGAGGGGGCACAGCACAGTGACCCCGCTCTCATAAAAATCCATCTATCCATTGTACTCGATATGAGACATAAAGTTGCAAAATGACATAGGCTCTTTTGGAAAGATAATAAAAAATTATTTTTTAACTTTTAACTTATTTTGAGTCACATCACCTCTTTTACTTTTTTACATATTTTTTTGATAAATTCTTTTTAAAAAAAAATTAAAAAGTCAATTTTTAACTATTTTTCCAAGATGAGCCATAATGAGAAGAAAAGAAAAGAGAGGTGGAGATGAGGAAGGACATGGTCATTGAATCCAAGCAACAAACATGTTTCACCACGCCATGAATGTGTATGATAAATATGGGTGTAAATTTGGCTCGGACCTGGCCCTGCCCATGTCGGGTCTTGTGGATTCCCATCAAAATTTGGGCAGGCCTAGACCAGCCCACGAGCTAAAAAAATTAGGCCTTGGCCAAGGGTATTCGGGTCTTAGGTGCTGGGTAGGCCTGGACCTGGCCTGGGGCTTGGGTGTGCCTGACTATTTTTTTTTTTTTTTTAAATTTTTCTATCAAAATTTTATTATTTTTTCCGCTAAAAATGCCACCGGGCCTCGGGCGCCCCGGGCTTCAAAATGGTGCCCAGGGGCTCAGGCTACCCTCAGGCTATGCTCGGACCGGGTCCAAAACAGGCTGGGCTCACCCCGGCCACGGGCGGGTTTCGGACCGTGAGCCATTTTTAAACTCTAATAATAAGCTTTCTTTTATAAAAAAATCTCACTTATTTCAGGCTCTACTTTTTTGGGTCCTCAGACCTCGTTTGCTAATTTTTTAACGTGTTTTTTTAGTAATTTTTTGACTTTTAGTTAAAATATAATGTAAAAAAATTTATATATTTGGAAATAATCTCTTAAATTTTTACGAAAAATATGCAATAAATAATATAAATAAAGTAAAAAGGTAAATTGGCATTTTTACCCTTCAATATTGTTGTTTCAATCCGCCACTATGTGACTGTCAAGTGTTAGTGATGCATCAGAAATTATTGTAGCATGTCATAGGCTCCGTTTGCGGAAGAGCTAGATTGGGCATTTTTATGGCTATTTTAGGCCACAGAAATACAAATAGG